GGGGTCCCCTTTAAGGAACTGTGGGAGGCAGTGAATTGGTAGCATTGACTGTACAATTTCAAGAAAAGTTTCAAAAAAATCAGGAAACGAAGAAACTGAAGTGACCTTTTGATTGACTTTAAGGCAACCACTTGATCTTTTTCTGGCTCCGAGACAAGATTTTTAATCTTCAGGTTGAAATACTACAGCTATCAAGTAACACAAAACAAGCAGAGAATATAAGGTTAAGGTATCACATTTCTCCTTCTGTTTTCCACAATACTTTTATGTGACCATTATTCTCAGGTTCTGTAGTCAGAGGATCTGTCATTCTCCACACTGTGGAAACCCATGCTGATTTTGTTTGTCCTTCTCACACCTGCACCTAACAGTTCATTTTCTAGTTTGGAAGGGTTTTCATACCCCTTTTAGTTACACAACCATCTTTGTAATGCAGTAGTGGCCAAAATAAATCAGCTAGCCTGTCTGAACAAAGAAAAACTGAAGAGCTGCTGATCACTTGGTTCTCCTCTATTGCAGGTGTGAATTTGAGTAGCTTGTGAACAGCATGCTGTGCCGGATATCCTGGAGCAAGGTCAGAAAACTCCACCTGCAACTTTAAAACTACTTCCAAAGTAGGCACTAGGTGACGGATTTCTCCTGTTGTGAAATGGGGATGTGGGAGGTGAACTGGTTGGCCCGCAGTCTGGGTCAGGACTGTGAGTTACTGGGCAACTCTGAAAAGACACCAGGCATTGCCTGCAAAGACTTTGCTCATGCTTCCCCAGGTAAAATGCACTAGTTTTATTTTATTTTATTTTAACCTGGCTGGTCATACTTAGATCTTTACCTGGAAATGGAGAGCTACAGGCCATTCAATGGAAACAGTCATGGGAAAAGACTGTTGGGTGACTCACAGCATGGAGTCAAGTGACTGTGAATCAGGGATAGGGTTTACTTGCCCTTTGAAGCATCCGTGCTGTACAGCATTGCAAGTGAAGTTGGGGTGGCTAGCGTTAGGTTTCGTAGTCCCTGGACTTCATGAAATCTGTATTTAATCAGCAAAGGAATGACGAAGAATAGAGGTATGTTTATCGTACGTTTGTCCTCATCTCTGTTCCTTAAGTCTGCACATGGTAAGCCAGCAAGTTCTCATTTATCACCTTGTGATGACGCTCTCATCTAGTTCCATGTCAAATTGTCTCTCCAGTTTTTAATAGCCACAAAGAGCTTCAGGAACAGTGCCTTACAAGATAACCAGATTTGTCTTGTGCTGCCTCAGAGCGCTTACTGCACGGCTGAGCTGCCTCCCCCTCTGCTCGCTCTGACGGTGCAGCCTCCCTTTGGCACAGTGTCACCAGAACTGCTTCAGGGATAATGGCACGTTTGCACTATTTACTTCCGTGCTTCTATACAGTGTCACAGCTTTATTGCTGTTTCTTCTAGCTTTGCCTCGATGTGAACTGAAAAACAGAAGTGTACAGCCTGGGGGCCCTTAAATAGTTGTTTGATTCAAGACCCCATTAATACATGCTGCTGCTGGGCTTCGTTACTTTCCATGCCCACACCATGCTGATCTTGACATTAATAGCACTACCAATATGAGCAGAGATGTTCGGGTGTTACTGACTAGAACATCTGAGGGAATATAAGCAAAGATAAATACTGCCAGAGTTGAGTCAAAACTAGAAGAAAGCAGATGAGTAAAGACAGTTTTATATCGTTAACCCTCAAGGCTTTGGGGCCAGGTCTATGCCATGTTTTGCCGTTCTTCAGGTGAGATCTTTAGAAACTCTTCTTTTATTCCTACTAAATGCATCCCTTTTTTAGGTTTTTTTAGCTTGAAAAAAACTGAAAAAGAGATTATTTAAGAAATAGACTATGTTTCTAATTACTATCTGAAGCTTTTATTTCTTTAGAAATAAATAGAACATTTTAACTGTAGATAATTCTGTGACTAGACCTCTGGTAAAAGATTCTATTTTATTAATAAAATATGAATGAAATAAATATTTCTATGTTAGTTCTTTTTACTCTACTTTCCTTAGAATGAATGTTTCAGGGAGCATATGCATACAAAGAAAGAACACTTGAAAGGATTCAGGTAGCTCAAAAACTCAGTGCATGTATTGCACCAGATTTCAAAAGCATCTGGTAGAAATGTATCTTGGGCAAGAAATCTATCTCAGGTTGGGGGACATGAGTAATACTCAGAAAATTTAAAGACAGGAAAAAGCTGCTTTTGTTTTAACTTTTATGTTTGATTTAAACCTTTTTGCATGTTAGATTTAATCAAGAATGACAGTAGGACTTTCAAAACACGTTAGAAAAAGGGTGTTTTCTGTTGTTATTCATACCAGATCAGACTTGTAGTCAGATGAAGGCTGTGAATCTTGCAACAATATCCAGCACCAGGTTTTAAGTCTGATTTTCATCAGATTTGGTCTATATTTAGCTGTCTATATTCTCTAGGGAATTATGTATTAAAAATTAAAAGCTGAGGTATTTGAGCTTTAAAAATATTTTTTCCTTATTATGCTTGGTGTTTATATTACATTTATATAAAACTCCAGTCTCCCTCTGCTGGACAAAATGCAACCGTTAATCCAAAAGATGTTAACAAAATCATTTTAACTTAACAGTGTACTTGAAAAATCTTGAAATTCTTAGATACTTACCTGTATTTGCCATCCACAAATATACATACTCTGAAGAAATAGATGAACATGCAGAATAGGCCAAGGTTTCACTTTCAGACTTTCTGAGTTTTAAAGCTGGGTGCCCCATTCACTTGTCCGTAACTAAATAAAAAGGCATATCAGTCAGAGGGGGCAACCTGAGGCAATGAGAGCTTTAGGTATTGCGGGACATAGCTAGAGTTAATCACAAATATGTCCTGTAATGGACTCTGGCTG